AAAATTCGTAACTTCGCCAGATTTCAACGGATTTGCTTGCTCGTAATTTTATTAGAAAGAATAGATCTTCCGCTTTCAAGCGCTGTTTTATGTAGCTTCTGCTTCGCACTGAGTGCCGAGATAAAAATGGAAAACTAAGACCATATAAGCTTTGACCATTTTAAGTTAGGTCACCAAAAATCTGAAATGCTGCAGAAAAATCTGAAATCGTCAGTACATATGTTTTTTGGCCTACTCTTTGCAATTGTGAAGAGTTTGCGCTGTTTGGACGTTTCTGCGAGAAGTTATGATTTTCACGAAAATTGCCAAATTAATTAATTTTGGCGTTATCCATAGTAAACTCGATATTCATAACTTCTCACAGAGATGTCCAAACAACACAAACTTTTCACAGATGCAAAGGGTAGGCCAAAAAACATATGTACTGACGATTTCAGATTTTTCTGCAGCATTCCAGATTTTTGGTGACCTAACTTAAAATGGTCAAAGTTTACATGGTCTTAGTTTTCCATTTTTATCTCGGCACTCAGTGTGAAACAGAAGCTCCGCAAAACAGGGCTTGAAAGCGGAAGATCTATTCTTTCTAATAAAATTACGAGCAAGCAAATCCGTTGAAATCTGGCGAAGTTACGAATTTTTGAAAATGGAGGGACAGAACTTTCGGTTCAACCTAATATATATCAGTGGCGTACCGAGGGGGGGCTCGCTTTCCCCCCCCATCCCCCGAGCGGGTCCCGAAATTTTTGAAAGTTACTTACATGGGTTATAAAATTGTGCAAATGACTTGTCTGCACTTGAAAATAATAAAATAATTTTTAAAATTTTTTAAAAATTCATTTTAGCCTTATGAAAAAAATTTTTTTCGGGGGCATGGCTGACGCCACGCCCCCTTTTTCCAGATTTTAGGGGTCGGGGACCCGCAAAAATTTTAAGAAGCTCCCTTTTTTCGAAGTGCGTGGCTAACGCCACGCACCTTCTTTAGAAAAAAATTTTTGTCCCCCCCCCCCGAGCCGAAATCCTGGGTACGCCACTGATATACAGGGTGTCCCAAAAAAATTTATCGAACGTTTGATCGTTAATATCTCTCTTCCCAAGAAATCTTTTGCCTTGCTTCAGGTACCGTTTTGTAGAGCTGGCTTCAACTTAGATTAGCATTATAGAACAAATCACCCATCCCTCTTCATTACTGTAGGATTACAGTAGAAACTTGAAACAAATGGTATCAATGTGGAAAAAGCTGCCGTTTCAAAATTTTTCAAAAAATTGTGAAAACTTGTGTAATAGGGTTTTTGTGGACGCTGAGTTCAATACTCAACTATTCACAAGATTATGAAGCTTTCTAAACGTTTTAATCGCACTTTTCAAAAACAATGAAAAAATGGCCGCTACCTCTTACCTGGCATAACTCTTCAATGAAGCATCATAACAAGTTAGGGATTTTACAGTCATAATCAGCAACTCTAATTAGCCTAGTGTAAAAGTTCTCAGGCTGTTTTGTTTCTTTTCTGAGGCAAGATACGGCCTTTCATTGCTTAAACCCTTTTTGAAGTTTCTACCGTAATCCTACAGTAATGAAGAGAGATGAGTGATTTAATCCATACTGTAAATCTAAGTTGAAGCCAGCTCTACAGGTTGGACCTAAAGCAAGGCAAAAGACTTCTTGGGAAGAGAGATACTAACGATCAAACGTTCGATACATTTTTTGGGACACTCTGCATATATATATATATATATATATATATTAGGTTGTCCCAAAAGTTTTGTCGGTTTTTTTCATCGCTCACCAAACCTCACAGAACACCATTCCATGAACGGCCTAGGTGTCAATCTACTCGTGTTTTTATCCTCTTTCTTATAGCTATATTTATTCCCTGATCTACCCCGTCTTTGCGATGTTATCGCTATGGCTTTTTGAGCACCCCAGCAAAACGCCAAAACTTTCCTGAATTTTCAAAATTTTTATCTTGATATTCTCGACGAGCGCTGGCGACTGTTATGTAGGGCAAACCTGTGGCTACATTGTGGCTATTTTAGATTACATGAGCCACGTTTATCAAGTCCGTGATAATTATTTATTTGAGAAAAACCGCGGCTTTTTGAACACGTTTTACCACGTAAAATTACCGAAAATTCCAAAAAGCTGATTTTTGAAGCAAATCAAACTTGGTTATGTTGCATAAATGATGTTTAATAACAATCAAGTTTGAATTCGCAAAAACTTCAAAAACTTCTATGATTTTGCTGCAATTGCGCGTTTCATGACTTAGCCAAAAATCGAGACCTCAGAAGAAATATTTTTTTGAAGTTAAAATCAGCAAATTAGGAGAATCTAAAATTACTCTCTTGCAGCCCGAGAGTTGCTCTATTTGACCCATACTTGATCTTTTTCGAAACTTTGTAACGAAATTTTTAAAAATTAGCTCAACTTTGAGCAGGTAAAATTGACAGGTGGAGAATTTCGGCAGTTACCAAAGAAAGCATATAACATTATGGTATGAAAGTGCATCCATAAGAAAGAGAAAGAAAAGCTGCATCGAATGCATGTTGAAACTCACTCAGGTCTTTATTGTGCGTGGTTCTACAGTAGTCTGAAAAAACCGACAAAACTTTCGGGACAACCTAATATATATATATATATATACACCAGCTGCAGCTAGATCCGACTGTCACCTAATCATTTCTCTCTTCCTCATGTTCGCTTGGTTCTAATAGAGGCTAGCTTTCGCAATAGCAAGTTTAGAACTACTTTGACACTTTCAGTTATGCACTATACAAGTGTCCGTTGATCCTAAGCAGGCTGAAGTTATAAGAAATTTTTTGGTGCTTTGCTTTTCCTTACAATATGCAAATAACATCCAGTGCTCTTTACAAAATGAAACTTTGGGCGAATGAAAAGAAACTTTTTGAAAAGTTCAGAGTTTGCGATTTTTCATTGCGATGCGAAAAAAGCTTACCTAAGTAGGAGGTTGTCCAAAGTACCAAGGCCGTTTATTTTTTCTAATTTCCAACACTTTTTCTGAGGCTATAAAGAGCAAAAAAACTCTTCTAGATATCACTTTTGATTAATGGGTATCAAAATTTGTCTAATTTACATAAGTATATTGACGATGAAAATTTCACTGCTCATATTCACAAGACAGAAAAATCGCTCCAATCCAGAGTGACTGAACGGGGATTCTGTCGACTTCAAACTAGCAAAAACACAACTGCACTCAAATTCGACTATATGCGCAAATATTACAGCAGTCCAACTTGCATCTGAGCGCAATTTTTCTCGCAAAAAATGTGCGAGATATTAGAAAATGTCCGTTGAAAAATTTGGCTACTTTGCTAAGAAATGAAAGCTTCAAATTTACTGAATTAGAAAATGAAGCACTTTTGCACGAAATTGGCGCGGCTCGCGATGCAGGCTATTCCTAGGAACAGGAGGCCGGGAGCGCTGGCTATCGCGTCACTTAGCGCGTTATCAATTTCGCGCCATTCGCCTCTCCTTCTGGGCGCATTGCCAAATCAAAGGATATACAAGGGCGCGTAGGCTGCGGTCCGAGCCTTTTCAAGTTTCGTTTGTATTGATCGTTTTATGACATCGTTCGTGCTGGCAGCGCCTTCAGCAGCTCCCGCAGATGATAATCGGTTTCGAGCGGTTGAGCTTTTGTCATCCTCTTGGTTTTGGAGACGCGCAGCTAAGCGTCATGGTTCGTCTTGCGTAGGAAGAATACCAGCGGGAGTGGAGAAGGGTCCCACCGTCCCGGAAGGGCTAGGGGCTTGCGGTTGACCCAGCAAAAAACCCGGAACTACTTATTGGAGTTGATCACCATCAGCATCGGCAGCACGGGACGAGGCGGCTTAGTGTTAGCAAGTTTATTGTTGTGTATATTTGTAGATAAATGTAATCTGCATTAGTCGGTCCTCTCTTTTCTCAGCGTTACGCGCTATTTATTGTGCTGTTTATGCGGGTAGAGATAGTCCTCGGTAGCGGCCATCAAGGCGTTATGAACCTTAACGGACGCGCGACATCGTAGGGGATAACTGAAGTTAAGTGTAGACGCGGGGAGCGCTTGCGGGAGGTGCTGATTACACCGAGCCGCCACACAGGGTTAATATTTCACATTTTTTTTAGAAATCCTTTTTTACATGTAGCGTCCTAAAATCGTTACTTAAAATTATCATAGCCAGTAATAGCTGCACAGCAACCACATATGAACTCTTTAGCTCCAATTATGCCTGTGCAATCCTGCAAAAACAGGCCCATTTTTGAATTAACCATGTATTTGGGAGACGAATGTTTCATGGGCTACTTTTTGAAGATAGACTGAACATTGTAGCAAAACTTGCACCGCACAAACATTGAAGTTATAGCAGTTTGAGAAGAATTTCCCAGAACTTCGAAAAAAAAATTTTAATTTTCAGAAAACGATCAGTAGGCCTACAAATGCTACGTTCAACTACGATGTTTGTACCTCCCAAATACGAATTATGTTTCAAGCAATAGGGGAAGGAGATTTGAAAACTCCACTTCTAGCTGTCTTTAACCAGAGCAATTTTTCTATAAGTTCTAAGGTGATGGTCATTGATGACCAATATGATAATTTAATTAAATTTTTTGAGTATTTACGGGAGTTTCATTTCGCGATTAAGGTTTTTCGTGCTCCCTTACGACAAATAGATCAAATCTTTGTGGAAAAAGCTTTTCCTCTTATTAACAGGCATTTTTGTTCTTTGATATCGAAAAGTGGACAATATGCGCCAATCATTACGAATTCCACCACTTTAGCGAAATAATGGGTGAATCGCGAGCATCACTATCAACTCATTCGTTACAAACTCAGTGCGGCTTTCAATAAAATCTTTCAATCTCCTAACAACAAGTCGCTTCAATCCATCTTCTGCAATGTATCCATGTCTGTCAAAAAAGGCTCAATCATTGATAAAAGCTATGCTGTCGCTCTTTCCTCGCGTGACAGTATAAGTAAACCCAAAAACTAATCAGAATTTTTTATAGCACACTCATATTGCTGAAAAAAATATGAACTTCTTGTTTTTCTTCTTCCTCCTGGGCGCTTGTATCTTAACGCTAACGAACGGAGACAAATCTGGGTAAGCTGAAATTACGTTATCCTAATTCGCAACAAAAATGTTGTGTTTTCAGCTGGACCGTTACCTGTTGCATAAAATGCCATCCAAGAAGCAAATATTTGGACTATCTCAGACGCGAGAAGGGCGAGTCCATCATCTTATTGATGCTAAAGTGCAAAAATTGGACAAATGTATGCCGGGAGGTCCTTGAAAACCCAGATGTATGCATTGGAACAAAACAACTGCTAGATGAATGAAACAACAAGCGTTCATCTCCTCATTGCCCGTTTCTTTCTGTGATAAAATAAAATAAAGCATTGCGAAGCATGTTTGCAGAGAAATTCAGCGTTAAATACTTTGCTAAGACAGTGTGGCAGTTAACAAGGTGAGGACCCTAGCTTGGCTAAGACGGCATGGTAGTATCCAAGTGCCTTCATCCTGCAACAAAATTAGCCGCTTATCAGCAGCTATGTCTCTTATCAGTTCAATCAAATAATTCTAATGCGATTTAGCGGAAAACACATTGACTAAAATTGCTAAAAAGAAGATTATTTCAATCATAAAAGTTTTCTTATTCTTTGCGGTTGTGTAAACTAACGTTTCTACTATTGATTAAAAATATCTTCAAATCAACACCTCGTATCGTGGCTGTTACCGTCCAGAGTTCTATCTATTTTAGCTTCTTTGAAAAAGTTGGGAGAAACAGCGCGGCATTTTCCCCTCACTGGTTGTTCCATTAAGACCAAAGAAGCTTATTTTTTGAAAAATTAAAACGGCACTCGTGGCGCCCTCATAAGACCTAAGAGACAGAAAGGAGTTGCCTAAAAAAACAGAGTGACAGGTGTTTATTTTTGACTTTTGAGAAATTAGATGCGTTGAAGCAGTGAAAGGAAGTAGATGCTTGCTTCGATCGGCTTCATCTGCATATTTCGGCATTTTTGTGCAGTAGCACGCATCTAATCACTTTTAAGTTCACTGTAAACAGTAACACCACAAATTTTTCCGCATATCTTCAGTGCCCCTCATTGTCTGCTGCCTCAACGTGGCGAGGAGGTGCGGCTGGATGTAGTAAAATGGCTCAAACCATAAATGCGATAAGTGGAAAAATTTCTCTTACTCCTCCCCCTCCCCCTTCATCTTAGGGCTGGCATCTGGCAGGCCCCTTCTGGCTGAGATTGAGTCTAGAATCAAGGCATTTCTGCAGAATCAAACTGTTGTTACAACGGCAGATTGTGTGTTAAGGAAGCGCCAGCTGCTCTTCTCCTCAAACATAAAGATTGCAGGAAAGCATCGATGCTACAGCGTTTTGTTGAAAAAACTCATGCTTGAGACCTCCCGCATACTCAAAGTGGCGTTGATAACGAAACATAATCAAAAATCAAAAAATGTCTGATTTTTTTAAAAAATTGAAATTGTATCAATAAATATATTAGGTCGTTTCGAAAGTAATCTCGCTTTCTTCAAGTGAAGGCTACATTTCGTGGAAGCAAGGTTCCTAGGAGATCTTGATAGCATTCGATGCATCATTTCATCCTCTTTCTAATGGCTATAACCTCACTGCAAAATACTCAATGAGCTTCTGAAAAATTACTAAAATCTCCAACCCATGCATTTTGGGAAGGTCAAGTACAATTTTTCTAACTTTTTGTAATAACTCCCGGAAGGAGTCCAAGTAATGGATGAATAGAGCAAACCATATAGGAAACGGTGTCATTTTTTTCTGCTTTCCGTATCTCGTCGTAATTTTTGTATAAATTTTTAAATGAAGTCACCGAATTTTTGCAATCTTGTCTCAAACACATATGCATCAAACACAAATAAACTTCGGATTCTGAAACTTACAAAGGTGCATTATGTTTCAACACTAATTTTGCAAAGCATGTGAGCATTTACCGCTTCAGATTAGCGACTTTCGGAAATTTCGGGTACAGCCTGGGGCGCCCTGGAAAACCCGCATTATGATGATTTTTTCCCGGAAAACTTTATGAATCGGAAACCAAAAACAACTAATAAAAAGAGGAGAAAAAGCTGCGTCGCATAACACCCGAATTGCTTGCCGGTTGTTGTTCTGTGAGGTTTGAGTTGACCAAATATGGAATTTGATAGCACTGAAAAATTGATTCTACAAACTCTAAGAAGCAAACTAAGGAAAAGAAAAAAATTGTCTTGTGGCCTATAGGGTTTGCTCTATTTATATGTTACTTGTACGTCTTCGGGTAATCAGTCCAAAAATATAGAAAAATAGCCGAACTTGACCATGACAAAAAGTATGAGTCGCAGCTTTTGGTAATTTTTTGAGAGCTCATTGAATATTATGCAATGAGATTACAACCATTAGAAAGAAGACGAAATGCTGCATCGACTGATCCCAAGAGCTCTTAAAAATCTTGGTTCCACGAAATGTGACGCTCATTTGAAAAATGCGACATTACTTTCGGAACGACCTAATACATTGTCGCAAGACAGAGTTGAGCAAGAATAGAAAATCTGGACTGGCTATTAACAGGTGCATGTTTGACAAGAATCGTATCATATCTCCTTTTACTAGAGATAACAACAAAGAATAAAGGAGCATTTGATTGTACGTTTCCCAAGCTTTCAAATCATATAACTCCAAAAACGACCTTCTTGGTTTAAAAAATGAAGCATGAAATAATTACCCAAAGTTGTGATACTGTAGCTAGATAAAATTGCTCATTATTTTCAAAGTCTAAGCACCGAGAAAATCTTCATATTACACCTCTGTACCACTTTTTCCTTCTTTTCACTCCCGCTCCCCTTAGGCATGTAAGCTTGCACCAGCATTCATTTTAAGACTCATTTACTCCTTTGCTTTTCTAGGTCGGAAATAGCCAAAACCCCCTTTACCTGGAGGGAACGCTGCTTCCCCCATCGCACCTATGTTCCAAACTATATTTAAACCAGACCAAAATGCCGCTTCGCGGCACTTTGGTCTGTACTTGTGTAGAGTGGGACGTAAATTCTTATGGAGTACATCTTGGCACCAGAAGTTTTATGATCCGCAAATATTTTCTCTGAGTAACGGTAAATAGGTAAAGTTATCTAAGTTCCACATGCTTGATGCTCATGAGTTACAGACACAACGCAGCTTCCCCTTTGTCGAAAGCACACGTCGACAGTATATAGCCGTCTGTAAACAACGGCAACGTAAAATCTTTTCCAAAGTCACAAAAGTGTCTTTGATCCAGATTGCCCTGATCGCTTCTCTTACTCCCCCTTCCCTTCATTACTTCACCGCTCCCTCTTTACTCTCCGTGGCTTCCTCACCGAAAGCTGTTTTCTTTCTAGAAGGATCTCCAAGCGAAGTGTACGCAGTTTTTTGACTGCATTTCTTCTTAAAATCATGTATATCACAATCTTCGTCTTATTGAAATTTTTAGATGCTGTTATGGAAATTAATGCATGCACTTGAGCGACCGTATCACTCCAACGCTTTTCTTCACCTTTATATTAGATTGATGAGAAAATGATGCCCATTTTGCAAAGTCTTACTTTGAAAGACTATAACTTTGTCCATTCTTCATATTAGGCGTCCCGAAAGTTTTGTCGATTTTTTAAACGATAAAACTATGCACAATAAAGTATTGAATGAGTTTTAACATGCATGCTTTTCATCCTCTTTCTCAGCTATACATTTAAAACCAAAGTCCTGTATGTTTTATAATTGCCAAAATTCATCACCTGTCATTTCTATCTGCTCAAAGTTCGGTAATTTTCAAAAATTTCATTCTGAAGATACGGAAAGGGTTAACTACGGCGCAAATAGAGCAAATCTCCTACTATACGGTAATGCTTTTAGAATCTCTAAACTGCTGTTTTTCGCCTAGAAACATTATTTTTTCGAAGGTTCAGATTTTTTTTTAGCAAACTCATGCTGCAGCAAAAACATGAAAGCTTCTGAAGTTTCACTTCAAACTTGATTGCTGTTGAACATGTTACGTGGAGCATAACCAAGTTATTTTGCTTCAAAGAATCAGCCTTTTGAGATTTTTGGTACTCTTGCATGGTAAATGCGATTACAAAGCCGCAGTTTTTCCCGAATAGGTGTTTATTACTTGATAAACCTAGCCGTGCTATTTAAAATGAATATAATGTAGCCAAAGCTTTGCTCTGCACATAGCTATCAGCACTCTTTGGAAACATTAGGATAGAAATAAAATTCAGGCAAGATTTGGCGTTACCTTGAGCTGCTCAAAAACCATGGCGATAGTATCGCAAAGACAACGTAGACAAAGCAAGAGAAATGTTAGCAAGAGCAGAAAAATTTGAAGTTAACGGTATTTAGGTCGTCCATGATCTGGTATTCTGTGATTTTTAATGATTAATGAGAAAAACCGACAAAGTTTTCGGCACAACTTAATTTTCGAATTTACTAGGGGGGGGGTCTGAAAGTTCGTGCCGTTTTTCAGACCCATGCTTAAACCATTCAAAATAATGATGGACAAACTCTCTTAACGTTGTTCTTTGCAGAATTTCTTACACTATTCAAGATTCTTGCACAGCTTTTCCTCCAGTAGAGTGGTCACCCAATTCCGCGGTTTTAACCTCTGAAAATCTGCCGCGACGCCCTGTGCTTTATAAGACGAGATATGCGAGCGAGGATAAACTTTGTGAAACGTTTGTATTAGGTTGGTAAGAAAGTTCTCGGACATTTTCAGAAAAGATCTGCTATTTCTCGAAACATAACGCATATACATCAGATAGAGGCACCATTCGATAGAGCAAAGCAAGCTATACAAGACGGTATGCAAAAGTTCGCACCAGCTTCGAACCACCGTAAGTTTGCGCCCATAATCTGAGTCGTACTGAAATTCAAAAAATCGCGAAAAATTCATATCTTTGTTCAAACAAATCCTACGGACCTCCAACTTGCTCACAAAAATTGCGGACCACATTAGACACACATATGCACCGTTCCTGCATTTATTGCTCGTCTGGAAATCAAGAAAACGAACATTTTCATGCTTGTATAGAAACGAAGCTGTGCTGTTTCCACCCATGTAATTGAATAGTACAAGCCCTTAAAAGTATAACCGTAAATTTTCAGCTTTCCGTAAGCCCTAGTTGTCGAAAAATGTTGATTTTAGCATGGAACGTCCGAGTGAGGAGCGCTCAACTCGGTAATTTTCGGGAACTAGGACCTGTAAAAAGCTGAAAATTTACAGTTATACTTTTAAGGGCCTGTACTATTCAATTACATAAGTGGAAACAGCACAGCTTCGTTTTTATACAAGCATGAAAATTTTCGTTTTCTCGATTTCCAGACGAGCAATAAATGCAGAAACGGTGCATATGTGTGTCTAATG